CCATCGCCTTCGACGTCGAGGCCCCCACGACGCTGCCGCCCTGCAAGGTGGGACCCCCCCCAATTCGGAGACCCCTCCCCTTTTGGGGGAGACCCCTCCCCTTTTTTAGGGGATTTCCCCCTTTTTTGGGGGGAATTTTCCCCTTTTTTGGGGATTTTTCCCCTTTTTTTGGGGATTTTCCTCTTATTTTAGGGGGATTTTCCCCTTTTTTGGGAATTTTCCACTTTTTTAGGAGACCCCTCCTCTTTTTGGGGAGACCCCTCCCCTTTTTGGGGATTTTCCCCCTTTTTTGGGGGGATTTTCCTCTTTTCTGGGGATTTTTCCCCTTTTTTTATGGGGATCTCCCCATTTTTTTTTAATTTTCCACTTTTTGGGGAGACCCCTCTCCTTTTTTAGGGGATTTCCCCCTTTTTGGGGAAGTTTTCCCCTTTTTTGGGGGAATTTTCCACTTTTTTTGGGGATTTTTCCTCTTATTTTAGGGGGATTTTCCCCTTTTTTGGGAATTTTCCACTTTTTTAGGAGACCCCTCCTCTTTTTGGGGAGACCCCTCCCCTTTTTGGGGAAGTTTTCCCCTTTTTTGGTGGAATCTTCCACTTTTTTTTGGGATTTTTCCTCTTTTTTAGGGGGATTTTCCCCTTTTTTGGGGGAATTTTCCACTTTTTTTGGGGATTTTTCCTCTTATTTTAGGGGGATTTTCCCCTTTTTTGGGGGAATTTTCCACTTTTTTTGGGGATTTTTCCTCTTATTTTAGGGGGATTTTCCCCTTTTTTGGGGGAATTTTCCACTTTTTTTGGGGATTTTTCCTCTTATTTTAGGGGGATTTTCCCCTTTTTTGGGGGAATTTTCCACTTTTTTTGGGGATTTTTCCTCTTATTTTAGGGGGATTTTCCCCTTTTTTGGGGGAATTTTCCACTTTTTTTGGGGATTTTTCCTCTTATTTTAGGGGGATTTTCCCCCTTTTTAAGGAGATTTTCCCCTTTTTTGGAATTTTCCACTTTTTGGGGAGACCCCTCCCCTTTTTAGGGGATTTTCCTCTATCCCACTTTTTTGGGAGACCCCTCCCCTTTTTGGGGAGACCCCCTCCTCTTTTTTGGGGTTTTCCCCCTTTTTGGGGGGGATTTTCCCCCTTTTTAAGGAGATTTTCCCCTTTTTTGGAATTTTCCACTTTTTGGGGAGACCCCTCCCCTTTTTAGGGGATTTTCCTCTATTTGGGGGGATTTCTCTCCTTTTTTGAGGGGATTTCCCCCTTTTTTGGGGTGGATTTTCCCCTTTTTGGGGTGGATTTTCCCCTTTTTGGTCTCCCCCCCCTCGGGGGTCTCACTGTGCCCCCTCCCCATTTCCAGGGCAGCTACTTCGGCTCCGACGACCTCAAGGCTTTGGTGCTGCGGTTCCTCCAGCAGTGAGTGCCCAAAAAACCCCAAAAAACCCCAAAATCCCCCCCAAAAAATCCCCAAATCTCACCTCAATCCCTTCCCCGAGAAACCCCACAAAGCCACCCAAAAAAACCTCCAAAAACCAACTCCCAAACCCCATTTTCCCCCCAAAAATCCCATGTCTTCCCTCCAAAATTCCCCTTTTCTCCCCTTTTTCCCCAAAATTCCCATTTTCTCCCCATTTTTCCCCCAAAATTCCCTTTTTACCTCATTTTTTCCCCAAATCCCCATTATTTTTCCCCCAAATTCCAATTCCCCCCCCCAAATTCCCATTTCCCCCCCATTTTTTCCCCATTTTCCCCAAAAATTCCCATTTTTCTCCCCCAAAATTCCCAATTTCCCCCCAAAATTCCCAATTTTCCCCCCAAAATTCCCATTTCCCCCCAAAATTCCCTTTTCCCCAAAAAATTTCCCATTTTCCCCAAAAAACTGCCCCAAAACCCCAAAATTCCTATTTTTCACCCCAAAAATTCACTTGAAAATGCCAAAATTCCCAATTTCCCCCCAAAAATTCCCCCAGAACCCCAAAATTCCCAATTTCCCCCCAACAAAATCC